CTCGCGCAGTGACTTGTTGAATTTGGACCGGGCCTTCTTCGAATGGGGCCAGGCGCGGGTGCAGAAGCAAGGCTCTGGCGACGAAGCCGAGGTGCCTGTTTAAAACTGCCGCGCTCTCTGTATATGCCCGTCTTTCCGCCTCCGACGGCTGCGAGAGCAGCGCGGCGCCGAGCTTTGCGTATTCGTCCGCAAAGTCGTTTCCCACCGCAAGGTGCCATTCGCGGGGCTGTGGGGCAAGGGCCTCCAAGTCAGAGTGGGCCTTTTGAAAATGCGGGCCCCGCGTCGCCGAAACGCGGATCTGTAGGCGGATGCCTGCGTACATGTGGAGCCTCGATGCGACTTGGCTCCACGGGGCAGAGGGCGAGCGGACGAGGCCCAGGAAGTCGGAGTGAATGGCCTGCGCCTGTGGGCAGTGTTCGATGACGGCGAGAACCGCCGCGTGCTCTGCGGCCGGGGAAGTCTGCGGGTAGTGCGAGCCCACGGACCCCCAGAGGGCCGCAAACAAGTCGCCACCAGCTGTCAGTTTGATGACAGCCCAGCCCGCGACGTGGAATTCCGCGGGGCCGTCCTCCAGTCAAGAGCCATCTGTAAAAACTTCGCCGGCGAACGCCTCCCGCACTGCAAGGGGGGCGTCCGCGCAGAAAAAGCGGTAAGGCGCGGTGCCCGACCCACGCGGTGGATTCACGGAGAAGCCAGGGAGTTCGAAGAATCCGCGGACGAGCGGGGAATTTCTGCGCCCGTCGTTTATGAGCTCAGCGCCTGTCTGCTCCAACCACTCCGCTCTGAGCGGGGCCGAAAGGGGGCAGTGGTGCAGGCGGTGCGATATGCAATCGGTTGGGCTGCCGCAAGCACAGACCGAGGGCGCCTCATAACCTGCCTGCTGCAACTTCCGCCTGGCCCAAACAGTCTGGCACAGAAAAGACTGCAGAATGCCGGCCTCTTGCTTTGAGAGGCTCCCACGGTGGAGGACCTGCCGGGCGACCGACAAATCTACGTTGGCTCCTGCCTCAAGACCTAGTTTCTGGCTAACGACGTGCAAATGGACACCCTGCCACATTGTCTCCATGTTGCTCTCCAAGAATTTCGGGGAGAACATAGTGAGAGGCCACTGCTCGCCTGCCTGGTCCACGAAGGCAAGTGCAGTGTGCATGCCCCACCCAATCCGACGGAGGGAGAGGATGGCAGCGGCGAGTGGACCACGCACGCTTCCCCAATCTTTCGGGGGGTTGGCCGGGATGGGGGCAGCGAGGGAAAGGAGGCGAGACATGGGGAAATGGTTGTGTGCGGATCTATCTGCGTGGGCACGCCATGCAATCTTAGCCCAGAGTAGAGCTGGGGCCAGCCCTTGGCGCCACGTCGGGTCCTCCAGCAGGGCCAGCGAAATGGAGCGAGAACGGTTGTCCCCGCGGGAGCCGGCGATGGCCAGAAAGAAAGACTGCAACTGGCGCAGTTCAGCCTCGTCAGCCCCGGTGACTTCTACACCATGGGTGCCGTGAGATTCCAGGCCTGTGGTAACAATTTACGCATGTTAGTGCCGGCCTTCTGCAGAGCAGCTAAACGCCGCTTGCGCGACTTGAGCTTGCCCATGCGTTCTCGCAGTGCCGGGCGACGCGACTTGCGGCATCTTAAATAGCCCACGGCCAGGTCGACACCTAAGTTCTTCGCAGCCGGGGCCACGCAGCCGACGAGGGGGCAGAGCACTCTTGCCAGCCTCTTGCGAAGTCGGTCGGAATTGGCCAAGGTGATTGACTTGCGCGGAGCAATCGAGCAACCCAGGTCATCTTCAATCACCTTAACCAAAGAAACGGCACCTTCCTTTATCTCGCGGGCTACAACGTTCGAGTCGTCATCAGTAACACCGATGTGAAGGTCATCTATAAAAAGGGAGAGGGGGAGCCGAGGATGCTCGACCAGCCAATCATTAAAAGGCTGATAAGTGTAGACTTGTACCAGGTAGGTGGCCCGCGGGCACCCCGCCGCAATGCCGCGGGTGGGGTGCCCGGTGCTCACCGTCTCGCGCTCGTACGTCACGAAACGCTGGGCCTAGTATTGGTTCAGCACGACGCAAAGAACGACTAAGGAAAAGTTAGCTGCCCGCGCCCTGTGCCACAGGCGCCTCCGATCCACATTTTCATAATAGTCGGACATGTCCTGCAACAGGGCGGCAGAGTGCGCGCATCTGCCCGCCGCCTTTGGCGACTCAGGTTCTAGGGCCTGCTGGAAGACAAACTCCACGATGCTGCGACCCTTCTGGTGGCAAAGGAAAGGTTGCGGGCGAGCTGCCTCCCATTTCTGTGCAATGAGCAGCCTGCACTTGGCCCACACCCTGTACATGGCGGGTATCAAGGCAATGCCCCGGAAAGCTGGGACCCCCGGCTGCTTCGACGCCGCTTTCTGAAGCAGCGTGGAGATTATCCCTAGGATCTGCGACGGGAACTCACCATGTTGCTCCACCGCATGGAAGAGGCTCCACCACAAGGAGGAGGAGGAGGAGGAGGAGGAGGAGGAGGAGGAGGAGGAGGAGGAGGAGGAGGAGGAGGACCCGGAGATCCGAGGATCTGATTTTTCATTTCTGGATTTCGGCCTCCGGGGCCCGTTGTATCGGGCCCGGGGGCAATCAATCGTGGAACCAGGACGGAGAGCCACCACTCCTGGGGGATGGGGTCGGGACCCCTGGGGCCGCGGATTGGAATACGCAGAGTGGCCCTTCACTGGAGGAGCCTTTCTGGTGCGAGCCCTCCCCACACCGCATCGTGGCGAAAGAGAAAATACAGGACGGGAGGTTTTTCTCAATTTTCAGCCCCTTTGGGCCCTCGCCGGGCCCTACAGTCAAAAACCCTAATAAGGACGCTCGACTTTGCTCAGGGTGCCCTTGCGTCCTTGCTCTTCCTTGCTCTTGCGTCCTTGAGGTTGTCGTCGTCCGCCGCCCCAAAAATCCCAACTTCGGCTTCCAAGGATCTTGCGTCCTTACCGCGCGTCCTTAGTAGGGTTTTGGATTGTAGGACCTTCAGAAAACGACTGAGGATGAAGCGCCGGTCCTGGGGAACGGGTCGGGACTCCCAGGGACGCGGTATGGACAAAAGTCAGGATGGCGCCGGACACCGAACGCCAGGCGGCATCGGTTTCGTGCGCTCTTGTTTTTGGCCCCCACGTGGCCCCCAAGAAGTCGCGCACCAAGGGTCATTCTTACCCACGGTCGCTCTTTGCGTGTAGCTGAGCGGTGTACCTCCTACGTCTCAAGTTCGAGGTTCGAGGCTCTGGTAGGGGAGCAAACGCAATGACATAAACATAACAACTCGGAGGTCCGCGCAGATTTCTCCCTGGCGCTGGACCCCACTCCCTGGCGCACGGAGTGCGGCAGGTGTGGCGCTGGAGGCGCCGCTAGGGGACCTCAGCGCCGTTCCGAGGAATTCGCACGGACCTAGAGTTTTTATGTTTGTGTTTGTTTCTTATTGAATCGCTTCGCTCATTCCGCCGGCCCATCTTGTATCACTGGTGCTATATGTATGTGTGTTCTTGGCGAGCGAAAAGGAGGAGGACGAGGAGGAGGAGGAGGAAGAGGGGGGGATGAGGATGAGGAGGCCAGGAGGAGGTCTCTGGATGGCTTTTTGTATCAATTTGGGGCGAAACTGGTCATGGCAAATGCGGTTTTTTGGGAGTCTGCTTGAGATCTTCTAGGAGGCTTCTCGGGGGCCTCGTGGCGGTATTGTGATGTCCTCGGGGTCTCCTGGGAGCCTCTTCGGGGTTTCTTGGGGGCCTCTTGGGGCCTCCAGGGGACCTCTCTGGGCCTAGAGCTCAACCAGTCAGGTCCCCCGTCTGGGCCCGCTCTTGGAGCCGTCTTGGGAGCTTCTTCGTCCATGTTTGGAGGCTCCTGAGGCTGTCTTGGGGCCCTCTGGGGCCGTTTTGAGCGATCTTGGAGGCCTCTCGGTCCGCGTTGGGGCGATCCTGGAAGTCTCTTGGGGCGTCTTGGAGCGCCGGTAACCCGAAAAGGCGAGAACGCCAAAATCCTTCAACAACTACGGGGAAACCACGAATTTCTGCCTCTGTGGGCCCTCTTGGGAGGTCTCGTGGAGGCCTCTTGGGCCGTTTTGGATGCGAATTGGGCCGTCTGGAGGCCATCTTTGGCGTCTTGGATAGCTCTGGGACCGTCTCGGACCATGTTGAGCTCTCTTGGAGGCGACTTGGAGCGCTCCTGAAGACCTCTTGGAAGCCTGCTGGGACCTGGCCGGGACCTGCCCGGGACCTGCCCGGGACCTTGCCAGGGTGCTTTTCGTCCGGGGACCCCCAGAGGCGGCCCCGCGCGCGCGAACTAGAGTATTGTTAACCAGTTACCGGAGATCTTAGCACGCCTCTGGCCCGTTGGGCCAGCGAATTTCGGGCATCCTCGTTGTTCCTGGAGGTTTTCCAGCCTCCGGAGGCTTTCCTGCAGCTGCACCTCGCCGAGGGCGTTCCGAGGGTGCCTGGATCGTCCCGAAGGGCCACTGGACACTCGAGTTATGACCCGGAAATTTTGTTTTTTGGGGTAATTCGTATCGCTCTATGCTCCATTCCTGAAGCCCGCTGTTGACAGTGTGACAAGTGGATCTGCAGGTTGGTCGTCGCGCTTTCCCCTTTCGCCTCCTCTTACCTCGCTCCAAAAGATGCGCTTGTGGGGGACCAAAAAAGAAAGCAATGACCCGAAAACCAAACCTCTGCTCGTTGCGAAAAACGTGGACCTATGCTCGTTGCGAAAAGCCTGGACCCAGACCTCTCACGTCCCGAGACACGCTATTCGGCAGCTTTCCGTTATTCTCGGCTTCTGGGGGCTCCCAGACGCTGGCGAGGGCCCCCAAGCAAGGGGGCCCTCGCCAGGCCCCAGGGGACAGTCAAAACCCACTCGTGCTGAAGAGCTGGCCTTGGGGAAGAGGTCCAGACCTCCAGGGACCCCGAATTGAGAAACTCGAGACATCTGATGTCTTGGCGGGTGCTCGCCCGCTGCTGGCCCGCTGCTCGCTTGGGAGGCGTCGTGGGGATGCTCGAGGTCATCGAGACGGACTTCGCCCGCCTGGAGGCGGACACCAAGGCCGCAGAGGCGGCCGCGCAGAAGGAGTACGACGAGTTCATGGCCGACTCCAAGGCAGACAAGGCCGCCAAGGAGCTGGAGATCGAGAACAAGAACTTCAAGAAGCAGGACGAGGAACAGGCCCTCGTGGTGTGCACGAAGAACCTGGAGGGCACCCAGAAGGAGCTCACCGCCTCTCTGGAGTACTTCGACAAGCTGAAGCCCTCCTGCATCGAGGTCGGCGTGAGCTACGACGAACGCGTGGCGCGGCGCAAGGAGGAGATCGCCTCCCTGCAAGAAGCGCTCAAGATCCTCAGCGGCGAGGACATCTAGGGAAGCGTTGGCCCCGCGCAGTGTGGCCTCTCTGGAGCCCAGCTCGCGGGGATGTGTCGGGCGTTGCGCAAGGGGGGGCGGGCGCGGCGAATGGGGCGGGGGGGGGGGGGTAAGGGGAGCGGCGCCTCTCGTGCCCGAAAGGGGGCCCCCGAAAGGAGGCCCCCTGGTGCCCAGAAGGAGGGCGAAGGGTGCCAGCCCAGACATGCGACGTCCTGATTTTTTCAGGACGGCGTCCCCGCAAGTCCCGACCCTTTCCCCGGGACCGGTTTTCGTCCTGAGTCGTTTTTTGACGGTCCCGAGGCCCGGCGAGGACCTCTAGAGGGCGAAAATACCCCAAAACCGCCCGTCCTGATTTTTTTTACGACGCCATCATGTCTGGGAGTCCCCCCTCCATGGATCGCTCCCCTGTCCGGCAGCGCCCAAGCGTGGGCCGCGGCTGGCCGCGCGGACCCCGGGCCACGGGCGCGCGGCGCCGCGGCCCACGGCGTGAGCTCCTCCGGCGGGCCGGCTTGCCCGGCGCCTCCCCCGCGGGTTTGGCCCAGCGGCCGGCCGCCTCGTGCTGCCGCCCCCCCCCCCGGGCCCCGCCCTCGTCGTCCTGGGTTGCGCGGGCGGCCGCGGCACGGCGGCCGCGCTCCATCCCCCCGGTCACCCCCCTGAGAACCAGAGGGAGGCGCGGGCGAGCAGGGCGGCTCGTCCCTGCTGCACCCCCCCTCGTCCGCCCGCCTTTCGCCACAGTTTGTCCTCTCCCCCCCTCTCCACCTTCCGCCTTCTGCATCCCTTCCTCCTCCTCCTCCTCCTCCTCCTTCTCCTCCCCCTCCTCCTCCTCCTCCTCCTCCTTCTCCTCCCCCTCCTCCTCCTCCTCCTCCTCCTCCTCCTGTATACGGCGTTTTCAGACTGCAGAGGCACGCTCTCGCACTGCAAGTCGACCAGTAATCCGGCAAGTTCGGCAAATCCTGAATTGGTCCTTTGGAAGCGCATTGCAGCCAACGGGAACCGTCATCTGCAGCAGTTCAAGCATGTCAAAGCACACGACACGCAAAACGATGTGATCGAGGGTGTTCTGTCCGACTTCGAGAAGACGGGGAACGCAACGACGGACGCCTTGGCCAAGAGATGTGCAGCTTTGCGCATTCCTGAGGACGACCACTCGTATCTCGTCAGGGGCTGAAGGCGCTTGCATATAATGCTGTTGCAATACCCTGGAAGCTTTCAAGCGTGGCTGTGCGATTCGAATGCTGCTCGCCTCGAGCACCATTTCCCGATGAACGAGGAAGAGGAGGAGCAGCTGCCGCCGAACCCCGACGCTGTAGTGGACAAAGCGCTCACGTCAATTGAGTTGCCATTGGCTGATGAGCTGGACGGACTTATGTAACCTCGGCAAGTGGCAAATCATCCTTGAGTGGAGTACCCGATGCTGCATTCACTACATATCCTTTTTGTTGTGCGACCAGCTGTCAGCATTTCTGTCCCGACTCCCGCAATCACTGGGCTGGCTCAGCGTTGCAGGGGTCGACATGGCAGTGGACGCGAGACTCAGAAGATTCGTTATTTCGATCCGCCACCGACAGTGGGTTCGGCAGGAAGTCAGGTTGGAGTCTCCGAGGTCGCAGTCGGGACTTGAAAAAGCTCTGCTTCGCACGGTCAAGAAATGGAAGCAGGAGTTCAAGGCCCATCAGTCTTGGGCCCCAACCAAGAAGCAGAGACTGATGGACACGTCGAGGATCCTTTTAGCATGCGGACGTGAGGATGCCGAGGCGCTTGAAGCGGGCAGAAATGCTGTTGTTGCTGATGGTGATGATCTTTCTGGGGGATCTCATTGAAGCCCTCTCTGAGGCGGGCTACGCATGTGCCGTGGCTGCTGGCATGAGCCCACCTCGGGAGGAAGGGGCTGGTGATGCGTCGGCGACCTGCGTTCCACTGCTGCGGGGAGGCGTAATCCTTCGTATGGATTGTGAATGCCGCAGGCGCCCGAAACCGCCTCGGCCCATGATACACGTTGTGTTTTCGCTTTTTCGTTTTGCGTTTCGCAATATGTTTGTGATTATTCAATCGCTTCGCTCATTCCGCCGGCCCATGTTGCATGATCGCTACTGCTTCGCCGTGGGCCCGGGGCCATTGTGGCGCCGCCGAGGAGGAAGAAGATGAGGATGGGGAAGGGGAGGGGAGGAGGAGGAGAGGATGAGAAGGAGATGAGGAGGATGAAGATAAGTAGGAGGAGGAGGAGGAAGAGGAAGGGGCGGAGGAGGAAGCCTCTCGTTGGCATCTTGTGTTGCTCTTGGGGCCAAACAGGGTCGTCGTCAAGATGCTTCTCTGGGAGGCCTCTTGGGGTCTTTTCAGAAGCCGTTCGAGGGCGCCTGGGAGGCATTTTTGAAGTCTTCTGGGGGGCCTCCTGGGGGCCTCCTGGGACCTCTTGGGGGCCTCTTGGCGGCATCTTGGGGCCTCTTTGGGGCCTCTCGGGGCCTCCTGGGGCCCTCTTGGGGCGGAAGGCTCGAGGTTTTGGTTCGTGGTCCCCCTCTTGGGCCCCTCTTGGGGCCGTCTTGGGGCCGTCTTGGGCCGTCTTGGGCGCCTCTTGGGTCGTCTCGGGGCCCTCTTGGGCCCTCTTGGGGCCCTCGTGGAAGCCTCTTGGCCCGTCTTGGGGTGCTCTTGGGGGCCTCCTGGGCCGTCTTGGAGCATCGGATGGCCGAAAAGGGGACAAGGCCCAAATTCTTTCAAAACCATCGTAAAATGTCTGATTTGGGCCTCTCAGGGCCCTCTTGTGAGGCCTCTTGGAGGCCACTTGGAGGCCTCTTGGGCCGTCTTGAGGTCATCATCGGCGTCTTGGAGCGCTCTTTAGGCGTCTCGGGGGCCCTTTGGGCAGTCTTGGGGGCCTCTTGGGGCACTCTTGGCGCGCTCTGGGGGGCCTGAGAAGCCACACCCAGGAGGAAAACCATCTCTGAGTAGCAGTGGTCGGGCGGCGGTCGGGGTACTTTTCGCCGGGGGACCCCCAGGGGCCGCCCCGCGCGCGCGAACTAGAAGTATTGTTTAGCAGTTACCGGAGATCTTAGCACGCCTTTGGCCCGTTGGGCCGGCGAATTGGTTGGCACATGTGGCCGACGAGGCCAGCCCTTCCATGTGCACCGATGTTGTGGGAGCGTCTTTCTACGCCCTCCTTTGCGTCATCGCCTGGCACCACTTGTGCTATGTCAGCCTTGTGGTACCCTGCGGGTGCAGCGGTTGGCTGTGCTCGCACTTCGTGCCTGCCTACCTCCAGGCCCGCGCGCGCGCGGCTGGGTGGTGGAGTTCGGCGTCGAGGCTGTCCCGACGCCCGCTGCGGGCTGACAGCTCCTGCCCCGTCCCGCGAGCTTAGCTGTTCTTGAAAAGCGGTGGGGACGCTTTTACCCGTTCTAATGCTGGGAAGTTTGTAGTTTTACACATATATGTGATTATAGAAAATATAATCAGACTGTCCTGGAGGATCCAGGAAATCCTGCAGCCCTTTGTTGCTCGAGAAAAAGAGCGACCCTCACCTCCCCCCTTTCTCCGCGAGGGGGGTGGGTGCGCGTGCATGGTAGCGGAGCTCGCTTGAGGTTCGCGGGCCGCTCCGCACCCAGGCGAGCTCCAGGAGCCCCTCGAGAGGGCCCAGCGGCGCGACGCCGCGGGTCCAGCGGCCAGCGGGACGATCCACGCGGCCGCCGAACGAAGGACCCCTTGCGGGTCAGAGCTGCGGTCAGACCCGCGCTCTGGCAGCGGAGGCCAGCCAGCCAGCAAGGGCAAGGGCAAGGCCACGCTGAAGGCCAAGAAGCCGAATAAGCGAGGAGGCAGAGCGGCGGACACGCGTCAGCATCGTCAGCTCCGAGGGAGCGCCTTTAGGAAGCTTGCGGCGTGCGGTAGCGCGGCGAAGCTCACTCAGGAGGAGCGAGCAGCGGTGAAGAGGCAGCTGGCGAGCGACATCGAGAGGCTAGAGAAGCGTGTCATTGACGTGCTCGACGACCAAGATGGAGCAGCAGCTGCAGCAACTGGTCGATCAAGTTCAGAGGCTGACGACGGAGAGTCAGAACATGAGGCAGGAGCTTCAGAACAGGGACGTGGCGATCGCAGAGATGAGAGGACAGCTTCAAGGTCAGCAGCAGGCTCAGCAGCAGGCTCAGCAGCAGCGGGTAGCCCCGCGCGGCGAGATGATGGATCCGAAGATCCTTCACAAGGTGAAGCCGTTCGACGGCCAAAGGTCGAGCTGGAAGACGTTCAGCTTCCAGTACAGAGCGTACCTGATCGCCCAGGATCGGAGGTACCGAGATCTTCTGGAAAGGTGCGAGGACGGAGCCCAGGAGGTGGACAACGTCAACCTGGACCCGCAGGAGGAAGAACTCAGCACGCAGTTGTACTACGGCCTGGTCCTGGCCATGCCCGAGGACTCGGTGGGCGAGCTGATCGTGAGGAACAGCCCAGTAGGAGAAGGAGCCGAGTGCTGGAGGAAGCTTCAGAAGGAGTACAACCCGAGCGAGGCAGGCAACGTGCTGGCGATGTGGACCAAGCTCACGGACACGAAGTTCGACGCCAAGGAAGACGTGATGGTGAGCATCAGCAAGCTGGACGAGGACATGGCGAGGTACCAGAAGATGGCAGGAGAGCCCGTCTCGGACCTGATCAAGCGCGGCATCCTCACAAAGGCGCTGAAGGATCACGACGAGCTGCAGAAGCACGTGTTTCGGAACAGCAGTCGGTTAAGTACGTACGAGCTTCTGAGAGCCGAGGTAGTGTCGGCGTTGATGGCAGAGCGAGCGGTTCAGGACGACCCGATGGAGATCGGAGCGCTGAAGGGCGGAAAGAGACCGTGGAAAGGCCGCGGCAAAGGGAAAGACGGAAAAGGCAAGGAGAAGCCAACGAATCCCGACGCCGAGATCGAGTGCAACTACTGCCACAAGAAGGGCCACCGCAGCGCAAACTGCCGAAAGCGGATCGCCGACGAGAAGAAGACAGCCGAGAAGGACAAGAAGGACAAGAAGCAGTTCCGAAAAGAGAAGGCAAAAGAAAAGAAGAAGATCGGGGCAGCGGCAGTCAGGGAGCTCGAAAGGTTACGACAGACAGGAGTGGGCACAGGATCAAGCTCGGCAGCAACGACACAACAGATGCTAGGAAGTCAGGGAAGCGCCGACAGCGCGATGACTCAGCAGGTGCTGCGCCCAGTCAACTGTGCGCTACAAGCGAAGATGATTCTGGCCCTGAGGGCAGAGGTCACAAGAAGCGCAACCACACGATCGACTGGAAGTACTGCTTGCCTGGCTACTACCAATATGACTGCTGCTCTTGCAAGAAGACCTTTGAAGGATGGCGATGGCACTACGATCAGTGGCAGCTGGACTACTGTGCCGTGTGTGCCGAGTACTGCCTGGACAGCTTCAAGGACGGGGAAGAGCCAGACGACAACAAGAAGCCAAAGCCAAAGAAGCGCAAGAAAGGCTAGATTCGTCGCTGACGGCTGTAAGTACTGCGATATGCCAGCTGCGGTGAGCCCCGCGCTGGCCGGCCCCAGGCCTGTTACCATCGCTGGTCTTCGGCCCGTGGATGAAGATCAGAGCCCTGCGGATGACCGATTGCGGTTAGCCCCGCTTCGGAATGCGATCATGCTAGATTCAGGTGCGCAGATCAGTGCGATACCGAGGTCACAGGTGACCAAGCACAACTACACGCCGACGGACAGCAACGTTGTCGGCTTGAAGGGCATAGGAGGCGAGGAGATCGAGAGGTACGGCCACGTGGAGCTGAACCTATCCCGAGGAGGAGAGGTTATTCAAGTCGGTGCTGAGGTTGCCGATGTGGAGTACCCAGTTGTGGCTACAGACGCTGTAGTACAACGTGGTCAGAGTGTTCTTCATAGCCCTGCAGGTCACTGGATCATCAACGGTACCATCGAGCCACCTGATGGAGCTGAGTTCGTACCTCTACGTCGTCACCAAGGCAACTACTACTTAGAGTACGATCACATCATCGACGGCCAGACTCAACCAGAAGCTTCAAAGGTAGCTGCGGTACGAAAGACACTACCAAGGAAGGTACCAGCTGAACAGGAAGCTGGATCTTTGCCGAAGGTTCTAGGTCCCGAAGCCGATGAGACCACAACTGTGCCAACGAGAGTGTTGAAGACTCCTCATCAACCTAGTGCTGCGGAGAGGGCCGCGCACGAAGGGCATCATCTACCTTTTCGGCCTTGGTGTCCCATCTGCGTGCAGGCTCGAGCGGACGATGACCCCCACCACGCTCAGGAACCAGCTGATGAGAACAAGATCCCGAAGGTGGTGTTCGACATCTTTTACGTAGGGACGGACCAGCTGGCTGCGAAGTACAAGCTTAAAGGAGGTTACTTCAGCATCAGGGAGAAGACGTCGGTCACGAAGGCCGAGATAGACCAAGCGGTCTCTGTCTTGAATGTTATCGACTGTAAGATCTTGGCTCAGGCGACGTTGTACGCGAACAAGGAGATGGATGACTACAAGGTGTCCTTCCTGCTAGGCGTGCTGGAAGCTTGGGGTCACACAACAGTCATACTTCAGACAGACCAGGAGCCTGCCACCATGGCTCTGGCGCAGGCAGTTCGAGATCGCAGATCACACTCAACCTTGGTGCGGGGATCACCGCCCTTTTCCAAGCAGAGTGCAGGCTACGCTGAAGGAGGTAACAAGCTAGCAGCTGGTCTACTTCGAGCCTACAAGCTGAAGCTGGAGCACAAGCTGGGCAGCGAGATCAAGATGACGGATCCGATCGTGCCATGGCTTGTGAACTCGGTGGGGTGGATGATCACCAGATTCCAGCCTCGCAGTCACGGAGGTTCCTCCTACAAGATGCTCTACGGCAAAGAGTACAACGGCGAGATTGCGGAGATGGGTGAGCAGGTCTGGTATCGGATCTCAGCCCGAGTTGCCGCGGGACGTGGCAAATGGGAAGCCCGCTTCGCAAAAGGAATCTGGGTTGGTAAGAGCGAGCTGGACGACGCACATCTCGTGATCGATCCTGAACGTGGAGTGCAGAAGGTCAGAACGGTGAGAAGGATGCCTGAGGAGTTCAGGTGGCAGCCCGAGCTCATCCAGCACATCAGGGTGACGCCCTGGAAGCAGACGCCCGACAAGAGTTCAGGAACCATCGGACGCAGCATGTACATCACGGAGCGCATGATCGATGCTCATGGTCCTACCGACGATTGCAGGAAGTGCAGTACAGGATACGGTTCGCATTCGGCAGCCTGCCGACAGCGTTTCGAGACCATTCAGGCCGACTTGCTGCGCGAGAAGTTGGCGAAGGACCCTGTGGCCCCTGAGGCTACAGTCGTGGTGCCAGCGCCGGCTGCGGGAAGCCCCGCGCCTGGAGCCGCACCCGGAGGAGCAGCGGCATCAAGCAGCAGTGAGGTTGCGGTGAGCCCCGCACCTGCTGCCAGCGACGTAGCTATGGTTCCTGGCCCAGGAGAGGCTGAGGTGCAGACAGCCATGGACACGGAGAGTGGAGAGCTCAGGAGCGACTTTCGGCGAAGTGCCCCAGGTGAAGTTCGTGAAGGAGCTGAGGTCAAGAAGCCCAGGGTAGCAAGCATTGGGCATCTCTCTGTCTGTGAGTTGGCAGTCTGCGAGGAGGGCTACGACGAGAGCTTCGACCCCATGTGGGATCCACACCCAAAGCGCAGTGCGAGATGTTCCGAGAGGTGTGAGAAGCACTCATCACGATGCCAGTTACGAGAATGCCATCAAGCTGAGTGTGCATGCAGGAGATGTTTGATGAGCCACATCGGCACAATCAGGAGCCACTTAGGAGATCCTGAGGAGCAACAGGTGGAGCAGATGGTTGAGGTGAGCGCCGAGCTGCATGAGAAAGACCAGTGGAGCCCAAAGACGATACACTACGATTACTACACTGGAGAGCCTCTGGATGAGGACCTGTATCAGAAGGGTCGCGACGACGAGCTGCAGGCCATGAAGGACTACGGGGTCTACGTGGAAGTGGCGACATCGACGGCGACCGACGGCAAGCACATTGGAGGTTTCCCGATAGCCCACATGAAAGAAGGAAAGGTCAGGTGGAGGTTCGTAGCAACCGAGGTGAACAAGTACGAGGTCAGGGAGGACAACCACCAAGGCACGCCCCCGCTCATGATTGTCAGAGCGACGCTGAGCCGTGCCGCTTCAAGTCCAACTTCCAGCGGGCAGCACCTGCGGAAGATACAAGTCTGGGACGTCAGGAAGGCTTTCTTCAACGCTGACTTAGACGAGACGATCTACGTGCATCCTGGGAGAGAGCTGTGTCCGCCTGGAAGGTGCTGGTGGTTACGCAAGGCCATGAACGGTACCAGGAAGGCGTCGCAGATGTGGGGTGAGCTTGTGAGAACTACTATGGACGACGGTCATTGGGAATGCTTGGTCGGAACTCCTAACGTGTTCTACTTACCTGCTAGCCCCAACACAGCCCCCTTCGACGAGGATAGCACAGCGATCTGCCATGGCGATGACTTTCTTGCTGAAGGCTACGACGAGCAGCTGGACGAGCTGGACGAGTTGTTGAAGCAGCAGTTTGAGGTCACGGCCAGCGCCAGACTTGGACCAGGAGCGGTAGGGCAGACTACATACCTCAAGAGGACGATCGGCTACACCGACAAGTTACCAGGTTGCGAGGAGCCAGGTTTCTTCTGGACTGCCGATCCCAAGCATGTGGACTTCATGATCAAGTGGACGCAGAAGCGAGGTTGTAAACCAGCTCCCACTCCAGGAACGAAAGCTACAGGACAAGGCCGACGAGACAGCCTAGACCTTCTTTCCAAGGATCGTGCTCGAGAAGTGGCGGGTGCAGCTGGCACCGCTCTTTACCTTTCTTCGGACAGGCCCGACACGATGTACGCCAGCAAGACAGCGATGCAGCACGTCTCCAACCCGAACGTCTTGATGCATGCGCGTGTTCAGCGGCTTGGAAGGTACTACGAAGGACAGCCTATGTTGGTCTGGTGTTACCCACTTCAAGGTACTCCTGAGGGCATTCGTGTAGATGGTGACGCGGATTGGGCACCTACGAGTGAACTACAGCGGCGATCTACCAGTGGAGGAGCTGTGAGGTATGGTGACCACACTTGGGACTGCTACTCAGTGACGCAGAGTACGATAGCCCTAAGTTCAGGGGAATCCGAGATGTATGCCACGGGAAGTGCGACAGCCAGAGGACTTCAGTGTAAGACTTACCTGATCGAGACCCAGAGGCCCTGCAACCTGAAGATCTATAGTGACAGCACAGCTGGACGTGGGATGTGCAGCCGAGTTGGGGTGGGCAAGGTCAGGCACCTGGAGTTGAGGTACTTGTGGATTCAGGAGCGGTTGCGTCTCAAGGCGTTCGAGCTTCACAAAGAGGACACCAGCAAGATGACAGCCGACATGCTCACGAAGTACAGCGAGTGGCCGACAATCGAGAAGCATTGCACCACTCTCAACCTCAGGTTCGGAAAGCAGTTGAAGGGCTTGAGCGCGATGGCAGTTTTCAAGGAGGTCGTGACGAAGGTGTCAGGCGAGAAGGTGACAGTGTACGGAGGTTCTGACGAGGTTGCGGTTTGCCCCGCGCCTGTCAGCCACTACGTGGACAGCGAGGAGTTCTGGTTCTTCCTGAAGGTGGGACTTGTTGTGGTGACTGCAGCCAGTGTGTTTTTACTGGGGTGCTGGTGTGGTTGCTACTTCAAGAACTTCTACGACAAGTTCCTCCTCCAGGGTGCGGTTAACCCCGCCTCTGGAAGCACTTGCACACCATCTGCGCGGGCTGACGTCGAGTTCAAGACCGTGTGTGTACAGCAGGACAAAGGAGCAAGGCACAAGCTCTTAAGCACGTTTCTTGTAGCTGACCTGCGAGCTGTCTTGAAGGCCAAGAGCCTGGCCGTGTCAGGGATCAAGGAGGACCTGGTCACGAGGATGATCAAGCACGGGTGTGTTCTGTCGGATCGCCAGGCCAAAGAGATCGAGCAGCTGCGGGTGATGGCTACAGCGCGTGGACCTCTTGCCAAGCTGAGCTTGCAGGACATCAGCAGTCCAGAGGCCGCGCAGAAGTGGATCGAGACGTTCAAGAGCGAGTGCTGAGACCGTTCCAGAGGCTCTCAGGTGATCCACGGAGAGGGCCAGGAGAATGGTCGCAGGAAGCACTACGACAGCCGAAGGTGAGCTTTCTTTTACAGGCTGCGGTTTGCCCCGCGCCTGCCCTCTGCGGGTAGCCCCGCGATGGGCTTAGGTGGGCAGCGCCGTTGCGAGGCCTGCTAAGGGAGCACAAAGTGGTTTCCCTGTGGCTCACTTTTCTCGGCTGGAGGCCGAGCCGCTTCCAGCGCCCAAGGAGAGGTGCTGGGAAGTTTGTAGTTTTACACATATATGTGATTATAGAAAATATAATCAGACTGTCCTGGAGGATCCAGGAAATCCTGCAGCCCTTTGTTGCTCGAGAAAAAGAGCGACCCTCACCTCCCCCCTTTCTCCGCGAGGGGGGTGGGTGCGCGTGCATCTAACTTTTCGTGTTGAGGTCGACAAGAGCAGAAAATCAATGGCAACCAACAACATAACACACACGACACCCGCTGGGCCCCAAACGAGCAGAAAGCGGCAACCCACAACAGAAAACAACGGCAACCCCAAACAGAACATTATCCTGGCAAAGGGCCCAACCATGTGCAGTTGTGCGTATCGCCGCTGTGGGTATCGCCTTCGGCGGATCTCCTTATGGGGCCACGAAGCGCCGTACTGGGTGGCGCGGGCCGCATGCGTACACAGCCACTGCGGCCTTCGGTGAGTCTCCCTATGGGGCCACGAAGCGCCGTACTCGGTGGGGCGTGCGGTGGAGCTCCCCAGGAAGCGTCGTACTGGATGGCACGGGACGCATGCGTCCACAGCCACTTCGGCCTTCGGCGGGGTCACGAAGCGCCGTGCTGGGTGGCGCGGGAAACATGCGTACACAGCCACTGCGGCCTTCGGTGGACCTCCCTACGGGGCCATGGCGCGCCGAACTGGGTGGCGCGGGACGCATGCGTACACATCCAACGGGCCTTCGGTGGAGCTCCCTATGCGGCCACGAAGCGCCGTACTGAGTGGCGCGGGACGCGTGTGTACACAGCCACTGCGGCCTTCGGTGGAGCTCCCCATGGGGCCACGAAGCGCCGTACTGAGTGGCGCGGGACGCATGCGTACACAGCCACTGCGGCCTTCGGTGGCGCTCCTTTTGGGGCCACGAGCCGCCGTACCGGAATGCGCGGGACGCATGCGTACACAGCCACTGCGGCCTTCAGCGGGGTCACGAAGCGCCGGACTGGGTGGCGCGGGACGCATGCGTATACAGCCGCTGGGGCCTTCGGTGGGTCTCCCTATGGGACCACGAAGCGCCGTACTGGGTGGCGCAGGACGCGTGCGTATACAGCAACTGGGGCCTTGGTGGAGCTCCCTATGCGGCCAAGAAGCGCTGTAATGGGTGGCGCGGGACGCATGCGTACACAGCCATTGTGGCCTTCGGTGGAGCTCCCCATGGGGCCACGGAGCGCCGTACTGGGTGTGCCGACATGGTTGATTTGGGCGGCGGGCAGAGGCAGTTTTTTGTTTGTTTGTTTGCTTTTTTTTTGCATCACCCTCTGCAGACCCTCATCAAGAGGACCTTCCACCAGACCTGGACTCTGGGAGTCAGAGTCAGACAGCCGTCAAGCACGGCACTTCAAAGCGCTGGCACAGACAGACATACATGCCAACGCATAGCCCACAGGCGCAGGTCCTGCGGGCCACCCGATGGGGCACGTGCCCCCGTGGCCAGGACCAGGAGGAGCACGTGCTCCGCGAACGGCGCGCGAGACAGGGCACGCAAGGAGGCCGTGCTCCGCGCGCCCTGCTCGGGGTAGGGGGCGCCGGAGGCCGTGCTCCGGCGCCCAGCCTACCCACCACCCACTCCGTGGGTGGCCGGCCGCAGGCGATGAGGAGCAATTTTCTCTCCCCTTGGTCCCCTACGGGCAAACAAGGGTGACGATCGGGCTGCTACCCGCCTGTTTTTCTGGGAAGGGAGGCAGGGATGGGAGGAGGGAGGAGGCGGGAGGAAGGAGCCGGGAGGAGAAGTGGCGCCATCTCCTCACAACGAGGACCCAACACCACAGGATGGTTGGGAACAGTTCACAGCAACGGAACGCAGAGCCACAACGACAGTTGACCACACGTAACCGCAAAGCGAACCGAAACCGGCGAACTCGACAACGGAGAACACCCCCCCCCGCGTTTTTGAGAACATCCAAGCCCGCGAGGCGTTTCAACACGCGGACGGTGTCGGGCCCCGCTGGGGGGAGGCGCTCCAGGAGGGCAGTCGTGGCCAGGGCCGCGAGCATGCCTCCCTCGGCCGCTTGGGGCGCTCGGGCTCCCGCTGCCCCTCGGCGTCCGCCCGCTCGGTCGCTCGGTCCTTCCCTCTCAGCTCGTGCAGCCTCCGCCCCGGGCGGTGCTGCGCAGAGACGGCGCTGAAAGCGGGTGCCCTCGATCGGCACGCCGGGGGCAAAGGCACCATTGCAGTCAGCGTTGGTAGACAGTCGCCCCTGAATGCACAGCTGAGTCTCCTCCTCCTCCCCCTCACTTTCGTGTTCGCCTCCCCTCCGTTTTTCTGCCTCCATCCTCCTCATCCTCCATCCTCCGCCTCCGTCCACTTCCTCCTACCCCTCCTCTTGCTCTTCTTCTTCTTCTTCTTCTTCTTCCTCCTCCTCCTCCTCCTCCTCCTCCTCTGCTTGCTCCCTCTGCGCGGGCGCGCGTGCTCTCTTCGTCTTCCTCCTCCTCCTCCTCCTCCTCCTCCTCCTCCTCCATCCTCCATCCTCCATCCTCCTCCTCCTCCTCCTCCTCCTCCTCCTCCTCATCCTCCTCCTCCTCCTGGTCGTCCTCCATCCTCCTCCTCCTCCTCCTCCTCCTCCTCCATCCTCCATCCTCCATCCTCCATCCTCCATCCTCCATCCTCCTCTGCTTGTGCTTCCTCGCTTGCATGCTCGAGCGCGGAGGAGCGCGCAGCCCTCCCTCCTCGGCGCTCCTGCCCCGCCGCCGCCGACACCTGGAGAGAGGAGGACGAGGACGAGGACGAGGACGAGCACGAGCACGAGCACGAGCACGAGGACGAGGACGAGTACGAGCACGAGCACGAGGACGAGGACGAGGACGAGGACGAGGACGAGGACCAGCACGAGCACGAGTACGAGGATTATGATGAGGAGGAGAGCAGGAGAGCGGGGGGGCCGAGGTATGCTGGTTGCAGGAGGAGGTACCTACAGGTGAGGAGGAGGATGCTTGGCAGCAGCAGGAGCAGCACTTTAGCAGCGCTGAGGAGGATTTAGTTCAGTGGGCCATGGCTCAATGAACGTGTGTCGGGGAAAAGGAGAAGGAAGAGGAGGATGAGAAGAAGAAGGAGGAGGAGGAGGAACAGCAGCGGCAGCATGTGGAGGAGGAGGGATGAGGGAGGGAGGAGAGGAGGGATGCGGTAGGAAAGGAGGACGAGGAGGAGTGAAGAGCGAGGGATATCATAATGATGATGATTATGATGATGATGATGCTGATGATGATGATGCTGATGCTGATGATGTTGTTGTTGATAATGATGATGATGACGATGCTGATGCTGATGATGATGCTGATGATGATGCTGATGATGATGATGATGATGATGATGATGATGATGAATGCGCGGCAGCCTTCCTTCCATCTTCAAGAGCAGGTTGGGTTTTCAGTGCTCCCAGGTGGGTTCTAGTTCCCGCGCTCCCTTTTCGACAGGAAGTGTGGCGGAAGGGGACGGAGGGTGCACGGGGGGGCTGAAGATGAACATGAGGAAGGCCGAGTGCGACCAGACCTCGGCACTCTGTCTCGTACGGAATTTCCCGGACAGCAGCGCGAAGCTAGGTTGTAGTACTTCCTGTGCCAGGGAGGCCAGCCTGGCCAGAGAGCCCGAGACTGTCGGATTTGAGCTCGCAGATGGTCTAAACTGCGAAGGTTTCATGTTTGATCTTGGCAAGCGACATATGTTTGCTACATGGCCCTGTTGCAATTCTAGCTTCCCGCTGTTCAGGGTCTCCCTTCCCCTTCTCGCAAACTTGGGGTCGGATGTGGGGTTGCCCTGCCAACGACGTCTTAAAGCGTCGTGAGTGCGGCAGTGCAGACGTCGCTCATGTCCCTTGCCTTGTGAGTTATGCCGAGAACAGTTTCCGATTCCTGCACAGGTCTTGGCATGCCCAGCCGATAACTCTCGACCTTGCCGCAGCAGTTGCACGTGTGGCAGCGGTGTGCCCCTTGCACGTGCATGCCAGTCGACAGCTGTATGAATGGCGATGCTTTGGGTCTGAGGGTCGAGTGAATGAATGTGGAGGTGGGGTGAGGAACAGCGTACGCACCGTCACGAGAGCGCGCCCTATGTGGGTTGCACCGCTTATTGCCTCCCAACGAAGACAGGTTGGTTCTCTCAGGGTTGGCTCCGCATGCTAGATTCGACCTTTAATTCCGAGGTTGCCTAGGGAGGGGGTAGGAGGGAGGAGGGAGGGAACGGGAGGAGGGAGGGAAAGGGAGGAGGGAGGGGAAAGGAAGGAGGAGGGAGGAAAGGAAGGAGGAGGGAGGGGAAGGGGGAGAGGGAGGGATGGGGGATGGGAGGAGAGGGAGGAGGAAGGGAGGAGGGATAGGAGGGAGGGGAATGGGGAGAAGGGGAGAAGGACAAATGGCGCCCTTGGCCGCGCCCGCCGCGATCGCCCCCGCCCGCCGCCCTGACAGGCGATTCAAGGAGGACGTCTTCTGGGCGCAGATCGAGGAGATCGTGTCGCTGCTGTCGGTGCCGAGGGGGAGGGAGGAGGAGGAGGAGGAGGAGGAGGAGGAGGAGGAGGAGGAGGAGGTGGAGGTGGAGGTGGAGGAGGAGGGGGAGGAGGAGGAGGAGGAGGAGGAGGAGGAGAAGGAGGAGGATGGAGGCGCGGCTCCCCAGCCTGGCCCAGACGTGCTCGCGTCGTGAACAAAGTCTCGGCGGGAGGTCTTTGGCCGTCTTCGGCCTCTGGGGGCCCCAACGCGACGGGAGGTCTTTGGCCGTTTTCGGCCTCTGGGGGCCCTGGGAGGGAAGTGAGCGGGGCGGGCCGTGTCAGAACGCTCGGAAGGCCTCGGGCCTCGACAGAAGTTTCTTCGAGCCGTCCCCGAAGACGCAGAAAACCTCTCGGAAGGCCGGAGGGTTTCTGAGAAGCCCCGCCGCCTTCTGAGAAGGCCCCCGCCACGAAGTGGTGGCCTGAGCGTTGTGCTGTGTGGAGCCTGTGCCGAATCGCCGGCTTGGAAAGAAGTCACTTGTGCCCTATTCCGATTCACATGTTCCACATCTTCCATCATTCCTGAGAAGGCCTCTTCCTTCTCACTTCATCCCCTTGCTTGCCGCCGGAACATCAGAGCATCGGATGTCTGGGAGGGGGACGCGCCAAGGATAGGCCCGCACCGCTCCTGGCCACTGCCCCCCACAATCTGAGCCTTGGATCGGTGCACACATACATACATGAGGCGTTCCAAGAAGGGCCTTGCCTTCGAGGGTAGGAGGAGTTGCCATCTCTTCCGCGGCTGAAGGTTGCCAAAGGGCGGCGGAAGGTCGGCGGAAGTATAACGAGGCTGCCTCCGCCGGCGGAAGCCAGCGGAGGGCCGGCAGAAGCCGGCGGAAGTAAAACGTTGACTGCCAGGAAATGCGCATGACGAGAACGTTTTTGGGTCACAGTTTTCCAAAGTCGGCCACGTACATACATACATACATACATACATACATACATACATACATACATACATACATGCATACAGACATACATACATACATACACACATACATGCATTCACACCCATATACATACATATATCATGCAGACGTGCGTATGGTACATGTGTGTATCTATATGTACATACGTACGTACATGCATGCAATCATGCATGCATGCATGTCTGCATCCATACATCCATACGAGCATACATACATGCACGCACATGCATCTAAACATATTTACATACACACATACGTACACACATACACACACATGTATCCAGTCGTACACACATGGTATACGTATACAGACATGCACACGTATGTCCATACATACAGGCATACATACAAACTTGCATACATACACAACTACACACCCACACATAGGCACACACATATATATGATCACATGCATATTTGCATCCATGCATACATACAAACATACATACACATACATACGTATTAACATCCCATATACACGTGCGTACAACACTCACATACATATATATATATATACATAGTGTATACACACAAACGTACATATAGTCATAAACCATACACGCATGCACACACACACGTACATACTTACAATTGCAGTCATGCGTGCATGCATACATGCATACATGTATGCATCTATAGATATATGTACACATACACACATACACACACGCACGTACACCCATACATACATACGCGCATACACATATGCACACATGTATGCGCACACACCTACATACATGCATGCATGCGTACATATACATACATATACACATGCATACATGCACACATACACACATACATACATGCATACACACATATACTTACATACATACATATATACACATACATACAAACATACACACATACATACATACATACGTACGTACGTACATCCATCCATCCATCCATCCATCCATCCATACATACATACACACACGCATGTATTCATATATACATACAAACATACACACACATACAAACATATACGTACACACATACATACATACATGCATATATACATACATACATACATACATCCATACGTACATACATACATACGTACACACATGCATGCATGCATGCATGCATGCATGCATGCATGCATGTATGCATGCATACGTACATACATACATACACACATACATACATTCATACATACATACATGCATGCATACTAACACATACACGCCCACATACACGTACACGACCTTTGGCCTGGCCAGAGAGGCACGCTCTCTCTCTCTCACACACACACGCCGTTCCCGAGCCGAAGGGTCTGCGTGCAGATGGTGTCTCGCTGGCGCCCTCCGAGGCGCGTGCCCATCGCAGGTCGGCTCCCGTGGAGTGCCTGGCCTGCCTGGCGACGTTTTGGCTCGCACGGCGGTCCAGTCGAGGCCAGGTCGCGTGAGGTTCTGTGGTCGCGCGACCTCCTTCGAGTAGGGGGTCGACTACAGAATTGATGTGTCCCAAAGTGTACGCCCTCGTCGAATCTAGCAGGGGTAAGAGGAACACGTAGTATGTTCCGTGGGGCCGACGAAAGGCACCAGTTGTGGGGGTAAATCAATTAGGTAGTCGACCTCCTACTCGACCCCGCCTCCTCAAACAAACATGGCTGGCGCCCTCCTGCCCGCCTCCCGTCTCTCGCTTCTCCTTGCGGTGTTCGGGGTCGTCGTCCACACAGCCTGGCCTTCCCGACAGGAGGGGGCTGGACGGGCGGCGGACGGGGGGATGGGCGGGGAGACGTGGACGGGCGAGCGAGAGAAGGTGACGGGGGATGTGGGGGAGCGGAGGGGCGAGACGGGATCGAGCCTGGCAAGACAGGGAACACGGGGGGGGGGGGGGGGACAGGATGAACGACGAGGACGGAGAGGCCGCAGAGGAAAGGAGGGTCGACAGGGAGGGGGGGGAGTTGCGTCCTCCTAGGTTTCGTCTCTCCCCCCTCCCTGCTTGGCCCGTGCTGCTGCACACAGCGCTCGAGACATGATGCAGTCGGGGCGCTGAAAAAGAGGAACCCTTTTCGTTGGGGAGGGGCTCGGTGTTCCTTAGTTGTTCCACGCCTTGCCTAAGTTTTTCGTTTTTCGATGGGGAGCCGAAGTTTGACGTCTGGAACAACGGGGCCTCGTTCCTTATTTAGGGATCCTTAGGTCAACGCCTCGACTGTGCCGTGCCAACTTACCAGCGAACGGGGGAGACAAGCTTCCCATCATCCACGCTCCCCGACCTCCCTCTGATGCTACGCGGCGCGCGCCCGCGAGTCCAGGCTGACTCGGACCCTCCCCTCTTCATCCAGCTCCTCCCTCCTACCTCCCCCTCCCTCCTCGTCCCCTTCCCTTCCCCCCCCCCTGTTCCCCCCCCTCCCCCTCCTTCCCCTCCCCTCTCCCTCCTCCCTTCCCCCTCCCCTCTTCCCCCCTTCTCCTCTCCTCCACCCGCTTGTTGGATGCAGCTCGACCTCTCGTGTTTGTTGCCACCATGGTTGGAGTTAGGACCTCTCGTCTTGCCGTTGTTCCTCCGCCAGGGGACTTCACCACTGCTCCAGTCCATTGGTTAATTCAGGCCTCTGTCAGCTTGCTCTGCCTCTGTCAGCTTGGCCTGCCTGGCCGCTTTCTCTCCAAGGAGCTAGGCCTTGGCGATAATCCACGTCCAACTAGCGCTAACCCACGTCCAACTCACATCATTGTCCTCCTCCTCCTCTTCCTCCTCCTCCTCCTCCTCCTCCTCCTCCTCCTTTTCCTCCGCCTCCTGCTCTTCTTCCTCCTAGGCCCTACGGTGCGCTCCGCCTTCTCTTCTTCCTCCTACCCCTCCTCTTCTTTCTCCTCCCCCTCCTTCTTTTCTTTCTTCTCCTCCTTCTCCACCCTCTCCTCCTCCCTTTCTTCATCCTGCTCTTGTCGCTGCGGGCAACGCTTGCGCGACCAGCACCCCTCCTCCTCCGCCTCCTCCTCCTCCTCATCATCATCATCAACATCATCATCATCATCAACATCACCATCTTCATCACCATCATCAGCATCAGCATCATCATCACCACCACGTAGTCAGCATCGTCATCATCAACAACATCACCATGATCATCATCATGACCATCATGAACAACATCACCATCATCACCATCATCATCAGCATCATCATCAGCGTCAGCATCCTCATCACTATCATCATAATCAACAGCATCATCAACATCACCATCATTATCACCATCATCAAACTCAACATCATCATCACCATCATCAGCATCATCATCATGGCAATCAGCATCAGCATCATCATGATCATCAGCATCATCATCATCATAATTACCATAATCATCATCATCAGCATCATCATCATCATCACCATCGTCATCATCATCATCATCATCATCATCATCATCATCATCATCATCATCATCATCATCATCATCATCATGAGCATCATCATCATCAGCATCATCATCATCAGCATTATCACCATCATCATCATCAGCACCAGCATCATGCTGACCATCATCATCATCATCATCATCATCATCATCATCAACATCATCATCATCATCATCACCAGCAGCATCAACACCAGCATCATCTTTAGCATCAGCATCAACACCAACATCATCTTCAGCATCATCATCATCATCATCGGCCCCTGTCTCTTCCTCGTCCTCTTCCTCTTCCTCTTCCTCCTCGACTTCCTTCTCGACTTCCTCCACCTCCTCCTCCTCCTCCTCTTCCTCCTAATTATCCTCCTCCTCCTTCTCCTACTCCTCCTCCTCCCCTCCTCCTCGCCGGCCTCCTCCTCCTCCCTATCCTCCTCCCTCTCCTCCTCCTCCTCCTCCTCTCCTCTGCCTCCTCCTCCTCTCTCTCCTCATCCTACCTCTCGTCCTCCTCCTCCCTTTCTTCCCCTCATACTTCCCTTTCTCCTCTCTACTCGTCTTAGTCTCCTCTCCTCCTCCTCCTCAGCCTCCTACTCCTCTCATCTTCATCATGCCTCGGACATCCCTCTCACCTCATCTTCGCCCTCCTATCTCCTCCCTATCTCTTCCTCCTCCTCACTCCTCTCCTCTCCTCTCCTCCTTCTCCTCGCCTCCCCATCCTATGTACTCTCACTCAAAGCCTCCTGCTACTCCTCCTCATCTCCTCCTCCTCTAACCCTCCTCCTCGGTCCCCCTCTCTCGTCCTCTTCCTCCTCCTCGCCTCTCCTCGTCCTCCTCCGTCCTCCCCTCCTCCGTCCTACTAGTCTTTGTCCTCCTTCTCTTCTTCATCCTCCTCTCATCTCTCTCCTCCGCCTATCCAACCTCTCCTTCTCTCTCTTCCTCCATTCCTTCTCATATCCTCCTCGATATCCTCCCTCCTCCTCCTCCTCATGCTCCTCCCCTCCCCCTCTCCTCCTATCCTCTACTCCTCTTCCCCATCATCCTCCTCCAACCCATCCTCGCTCCTTGATCCGCTGCTCCCTCCTCCTCCTCCTCCTCCTCTCCTCGTCATCCTCCTCCTCTCCTCCTCCTCGTTCCTCCTCCTCCTCCTCCTCTCCTCATCTCATCCCCTCCTTCTCCTCCCTATAATCCTCTCATCCTCCTCCTCCTCCTCCTCTCTCCTCCTTCCTCTCCTCCTCTCCTACTCGTCTTTGTCTCTCTCCTCACCTCCTCTCCTCTATCCTCCTCTTCCTTCTCTCCCCCTCCTCCTCTCCTTCCCTCCTCCCCCCTATCTCCTCCTCTCGCTTCCCTCTCCCTCTCCCTCTCCCTCTCCTCCTCCTCTCCTCCTCCCCTCGTCCTCCCTATCCCGCCTCTCCTCCTCCCCCTACTCCTCCTGCTCCTCCTCCTCCTCCGCCTCCTCCTCCTCCTCCTCCTCCTCCTCTGCTGCTCCTCCTCCTCCTCCCCTTCCTGTCCCTCCTCCCCATCCCCCCTCGCATCCCTCCCCCTCCCTCGAGGCTCGCGGCCTCCTCCCCCTCTCCCCCCGCGCCGCCCCCCAGGTGGCGCTCCTGCCCGGCCTGGGCCTCGCCGCCTCCCAGTACTTCCGCGTCGGCGAGTCGGAACCTTGCCGCTGCTACCAGGCGCCTCGCCACGCGGGCGGCCCCGAGCTGCCGAGGCCCACGAGGGAGGGAGGGAGGGAGGGAGGGAGGGAGGAGGGAGGGAGGGAGGGAGGAGGGAGGAGGGAGGAGGGAGGAGGGAGGGAGGAGGATGGTGACGCTTCAGGTGATCATCGCCTCGCAGCCTGCCTCAGAAAGGGGCTCATCAAGGGAGGAGGAGGGGGGAGGGAGGAGGGAGAAAGAGGAGGCGGAGGAGGAGGAGGAGGAGGAGGAGGAGGAGGAGGAGGAGGAGGAGGAGGAGGAGGAGGAGGAGGAGGCGGCGGCGGCGGAGACGAGGGAGGTGGGAGGAGGCGCCTAGGCAGTCGGGTAGAGCGCTCCTCGCCGTAGGCCTCCCCGCTCTCTGGTATTGATGCAGGGCCACGCTTCCCGTCTGCACTGGGCCGCGGCCGAGCCTGCGGAGGGATGGATGACAGAAGGAGGGACCAGAGCCCCGCTCTCCGACGGAGCCCCGCTCTTCCTTGGGCCCTCGGGCCCTTCCATGGCTGTTCCTTGTGTCCTTTCATGGCTGCCCTCTGGGTCCTGCACGATGCAGTCCAGATGCCGACGGAGGGCACAGTTCCCAGACATCCGGCGTCTCGATCTGTTCGAGGCACGGGCCCCCCGACCTTTCGACCACTTCCTGGGGGACCCGTGTCTCATCCCGAGTCGTGTTGTGAGGGTCCCTGGGCCTAGTAGGGGCCCCGGGAGGCCGAAAACAGCGAGAAGCCTCCCGCCGTGATGTTCTCACAGCGCGAGGGGGCCTGGGAAAGGGGTGGCAGCTGGTGTTCGGGCGGGGCCGCGCTGCTCCTTGGGCCCTTCCGTGGCTGTTCCCCCCTTGGTGCCCCTCGTGCGCCCAATGGGCGCCCCGGGGGGGGCCCGCGTTGGGGCCGCACCCTTCGCGGCCCGAGCCACGGTGGGACCACCGAGGCGGGAGATCGAGGTCGCTGCGGGGAGGGCAGCCTGACGTCCTTCGTGCTCGCCGGATGCTCTGGTGCATCCCGGGGGAGGGTTGGCCTCGAACGTTCTTCCGTTTGGCCAGCGGAGGGTCCCGTGTTCCTGAGGGGTGTTCTTCTGTCCCAGGTCCGGCCGTGCCGGCTGAGAGGAGGGGCGGAAGGACGGGGGGGCGGACGGGAAGGAGGGAGAAGGGTAGCACATACGCTCCTGGAAGAGAACGAGGCCGGTGACCGTCTGTGCATGATGTAGTCCACGCGCCATGCTCATGCAATGCTGCGCGCGTGTGTGCACATAGTAGCACCCGCGAGCTCACACGATTGCTCTGGTGACGCCGCCTTCCGCTACACGTGCGGACAAGGTGCTTGGCCTGGACGTCCTCCTGGACGCGAATCTCTGGCCGTGGCTTCTAGAGGTCAACGGCCAGCCCGCCATGGACATCGAGACGGCCGTGCCCGTTCCGGATCTCGTGCCGGTGAGGCAGCGGGGGGCAGGCAGACCAGAAGAGTAGCAGAGGAGACGCAGGAGCACGAGGGGAAGCAGGGATCACCATGGTGAGGAGACCAAGATGGGCAGGAGGAGGAGGAGGAGGAGGAGGAGGAGGAGGAGGAGGAGGAGACGAGGATGGAAGGAAGGAGTAGGGAACGATAACAGGAGGAGGAGGAGGAGCAGGAGGAGGAGGAGAGCAGTGGCTGCTTCCAGGCCGCCGTCGCGGAGTGGGGTGCATCGCACGGTGGCGGCCTCAGTGGTTCGCTTGGCGTCCTTCCCCTTTCCTGGTTCTTCTTCTCCTCCTCCTCATAGTTCTCCTCCTGCCGATCTCCCTCCTCCTCCTCCTCCTCCTCCTCCTCCTCCTCCTCGTCCTCCTCCTCCTCCTCCTCCTTGTCCTCCTCCTTGTTCTTCTCCCCCTCTCGTTTCTGCGTCTCCCCCTCCTGGTTCTCCTTTTCCCGCTTCTTCTCCCCCCGATTAGCCCGTTTGCTTCCCTCATCATTTGGTTAGGGAACCTTCCGATCTTTCGAGGCGCTGTTGATCGATCCTCCTGGTTCTTATCCCTGCTTTTATGATCCTGCTTCTCCTGCTCGTTCTCTTTCTCCTCCTGCTGGTCTTCCTCCCCATTGCTTGCTCCTCCTGCTGCTACCAGCCCCCCCTTCCTTTCGTCGTCCTCTTTCTCTGCGTGCTGCTCGACTTCGTCCTCCTCGTCCTCGTCCTCGTCCTCGTCCTCGTCCTGTTCATTGTCCTCGTCCGCCTCCTCGTCCTCGTCCTCGTTCTCGTCGACCTTCCTCGTCCTCGTCGTCGTCGTCGTCCTCCTCCTCCTCCTCCTCCTCCTCCGGCTCCTCCTCGCCGCCCTCGGTCGAGGAGGAGGGCGGCGGCCGCCAGCCGCGCCACTGCAGGAGCCGCGCGCCAGGAGGTGCCGGTGCTGATCCGCCCCTCGGAAGCGACCTCGGGCCCGCGGCCGCGCGTGGCGAGGACGAGCAGGCTGCAGCAGGTGCTGGCCGTGCCGGCCCGCCCCCGGCCCGCCCTGCGCAGCGCCGAGAGCCCGAAGCAGAACTACGTATAGCTCATGTCTCAGTCTTCGAAGGTCCTTTGATTTTTTTGGGGGGGGCCAAGATCCTTTCATTTCTCATTCTTCTATCCTGGGCCTGTTCCTGGCCACGAGGGGGCCAGGAACAAGTAGGGACGAGCACAGTCAGAAATGAGCACGATTAGACATGAACGACGTGCAGTCTTCCTCACACCGGCTCTTGCCCCCCTTACGACCATCACCGGCTGCCACAGGTTCTTGGGCGGATGTGCGTCCGGCCTGCGGCAAGGCCAGCGCGCCGCCAAAGGACTCGCAAGGGTCCGAGGCAGAGCTGTTGCGGCTGTTGGCTGAAATCGGGGGGCCTCCTCCTCCTCCTCCTCCTCCTCCTCCTCTCCTCCTCCTCCTCCTTCCTCCTCCTCCTCCTCCTCCTCCTCCTCCTCCTCCTCCTCCTCCTCCTCCTCCTCCTCCCTCTAAACCCTAAAACCGAAACCCTAAATTCCCAAGCACCTCGTTGTGCTTCTGCCCACCCCACCGCGCATCACCGTCGCCGTCTACGAGAGACAGGGCATCTCTGAGATACTTCAGCGGGTTGCCAGACTGGGTCGCCCATGCAGCCGTAGGCTGCCCCTTGGGAGTCGCGATTCAAAGATAAACTTTTCCTGATCCTCGAAGAGTACAACACCCTAAACCCGGGGACCTTTCGTCCTCTGGTGGGGTTTTTACTTCTCCGACACGTAAAAACAGGTGTGGGCCGCTCTGCGCGCTTCTGGGCGCTGTTGGGAGCGCCTGGGAGCGCCTGGGAGCGTCTGGGAGCGCCTGGGAGCGCCTGGGAGCGCCTGGGAGCGCCTGGGAGCGCGCGGGGAGCGCTTGGGAACGCCTGGGAGCGCTTGGGAGCGCTGGGGAGCGCCGGGGAGCGCCTGGGAGCGCCGGGGAGCGCCTGGCAGCGCCGTGGAGCGCCTGGGAGCGCCTGGGAGCGCCTGGGAGCGCCAGGGAGCGCCGGGGAGCGCCGGGGAGCGCCGGGGAGCGCCTGGGAGCGCCTGGGAGCGCCTGGGAGCGCCGGGGAGCGCCGGGGAGCGCCTGGGAGCGCGGGGGAGCGCCTGGGAGCGCCGGGGAGCGCCTGGGAGCGCCTGGGAGCGCCAGGGAGCGCCTGGGAGCGCTTGGAGCCATGTGGGAATTTAGGGGCCAGCGGCCCTAAACCCTAAAAGGCTTTAGTTTGGGAGGTTGCCGGCCATGCGGCCGGGGGTGGGAAGATGTTGCACCTCCTGCCCCTTCGCCAAGCTTGCTCGGGTCGGCTAACCGCCCCCCCAATCAAGCTTGCCGAAGGGGGGGCAGCATTGCCTGGACTGTCGGCCGCTGCGCTAAGAGAAGCCCTAAACCCTAAACCCTAAACCCTAAACCCTACACCCTAAACCCTAAACCCTCAAGACGAAAAACACCACGTATTGAGCAAACTCGAATGGTGCCATTGCGAAAGACAATGCAAAGGAACGAACCTCGAAACTTTTGATGGCCAGGGTGGCGGAGATGGCTGGGGCGCGGGCACGGCGGCGATGGTGAGATTAGTGAGGACGGGGGGGATGATGGGAGTAGCGGGAGTGCGAAGATGATAGGAGTCGTGAGGATGATGAGGGCGGTGGGGGTGGTGAGCCTGACGGGAATGGCGTGGATGTTCGACCGTGTCGACGGTGGAAATGATGAGAATGGTGATGACGGCGAGGACTTCAGGGGTCGTGGCGATAGAAAGGCTTGCGAGAGAGGCAGAGGCGGCGATCGCGCCAATGAGACCGATGACGCGAAGACGATGTTTCCAAGTCGGAGTGAAGAGCGCGCAGCGGGGCTCTCCGCGGCGCTGCCGCGGGCCTCATTGCGCCGCGTCGAGCCGCTCGTAGACAGCGAGGTAGATCTTCGTCAGCGCCGCGGCGCCCTGCCCGCCGCCGAAGAAGGCGATCTCAGCTTCGGTGGCGACGCGGGAGGCGTCGTCGTCGTAGAGCCACCAGGTGCCGTCGTACTTCGCGAAGGCGTAGTAGTGGCCCTTGCGGGCGGTGGCGCCCCTGTGCACGACCACAGCCTTCAACGAGAAGATCCCGACGCTGTCCGGGCCGCGCACCTCGAGGACGGCGTCGAAGTCTCTCCTAATAAGGATTCTCTGTCCAGAAACCCGCAACGAGTGTCGCAACGCGCGCCACGCGCCGACCAGCCCCTGCCCCCCCTGGCCAGCCGGTCGCGACGCTGGCCCCAGCCGCCGCGGCTTCCCTACGCCCCCAGCCCCGCCCGGCCGGAGGCGCGCCCCCTGGCCGAATCCTTGTCCCCGGTATATGACTCAAGCGCCAGTGTCGCGAAGCGCGCCGAGCGCCGGCCAGCCCCTGGCCCGCCCGGCCAGCCGTCCGAGGTCGTCGCCCGAGCCGCCAGCGCCATCCCGCGGCCCCAGTCCCGACGCGGCCGGCAACGCGCCCCCTGGCCGAATTCCTGTCCCCGGTATATGACTTAAGCGCCGATGTCGCGAAGCGCGCGAAACGCCCGCTCGGCAACGCGCGCCGCGCGCCGACCAGCCCCTGCCCCCCCTGGCCAGCCGGTCGCGGCGCTGGCCGCAGCCGCCGCGGCTTCCCTACGCCCCCAGCCCCGCCCGGCCGGAAGCGCGCCCCCTGGCCGAATCCTTGTCCCCGGTATATGACTACAGCGCCAGTGTCGCGAAGCGCGCCGAGCGCCGGCCAGACCCATGGCCCGCCCGGCCAGCCGTCCGAGGTCGTCGCCCGAGCCGCCAGCGCCATCCCGCGGCCCCAGCCCCGACGCGGCCGGCAACGCGCCCCCTGGCCGAATTCCTGTCTCCGGTATATGACTGAAGCGCCGATGTCGCGAAGCGCGCGAAACGCCCGCTCGGCCCTTGCCGCCCCCTGGCCGTCGCGACGCGACTCCTTTGTGTTTTACGAGAGATCGCGGCATCAGCAGGCCCGAAATCTTGCCGTCGCGATGCGAATCCCACGTGTTTTACGAAGGATCGTAGCCAAGCCGACTGGCGGGAACCAATTGATACCGCTACGAGGTCCGCAGACGCTAATACGTTGTGTAAACCCTTCAAGACGAAAAACACCACGTATTGAGCAAGCTCGAACGGTGCCATTGCGAAAGATAGTAAAATGATACCATGCCGAACGATGTAAGCGAGCCCGGCGCAAGCTTGCGCGAGCGCCTGATGGGCGCGCCAACCATATCCGACGCTCCGAGCGAGCCGGCGCGAGCGGAATGGCTCCGGAACGGCACGCCAGCACGCTCCCAGGCGCTCGCAGGCGCTCCCGGCACGCTCCCAGGCGCTCCCAGGCGGTCTCGAAGCTCCCAGGCGCCCCGAAGCGCTCCCAGGCAGGGGCTCCCAGGCGCTCCCAAACGCTTCCGGCACGCTCCCACTTAAGCGTTCCCAGGCGCTCCCGGGCGCTCCCGGCACGCTCCCGGGCGCTCCCAGGCGCTCCCGGCACGCTCCCAAGCGCTCCCAAGCGCTCCCAGGCGCTCCCAGGCGCTCCCAGGTGCTCCCAGGCGCTCCCAGGCGCTCCCAGTGCTCCCAGGGGCTCCCAGGCGGGAGCGCGATCTTCGAGCGGGCACGCACGGAAGCGCTGTCGGAACAGCCCAGGCAGACAGCCGCCGCGCGGGAGGGAGCGCGATCTTCGAGCGGGCACGCACGAAAGCGCTCTCGGCGATAGCGCACCCCAATTAACACCGTTGCGAGGTCCGCAGACGCTAATACGTTGTGTAAACCCTAAACCCTGTCCCCCAAGTTGGTGTTTTTTTCTCGTGCCCGGCGCGGGCTCGGAGCGGGCTCGAGGCGGCCTCGGCGCGGATTCCCGCGCGGATCCGGCACGGAGTCGACAGGGATCCGACGAGTCCGGCATGGCTCCGGCACGGCTTCGGCGCGGATGGGGCCGCGACGGGACAGACAGAGGTCCCCCGAGGATGCAGCACGAAGGAGGGCGTCGTGCGGGGCTGCTCCCGGGCCAGTCCCGCGCCCTGTGCGCCGTGGCCGTGGCGGATTATCGGCGGCGGCGGCGCTGGAGGGCGGCGCTGGCGCAGCGCAGCCTGGGGACCACGGAGCAGAGGGTGCTCTTCTTCGGCTGCACGTAAGAATGACTCTTCGCCGGAGTGGCCTTTGGCGCGGGCTCATCGGGGTCCCCCCGATCGCTGAGTGCGATGCGATAGCGGCTGCCTGCGCGCTTGGATTTGGCCACCTG